ATACTACACAGCTGGCTTCCCCGAGTCAAGACACCAAAAGAGGACCCAGACAGCAGCTCTCAGGAATAATGCCAGAGGATGAAAACTGAGAGTAAATTCACACTCAGAGTACCAGGGCCACTGACCATGAAACGTCACTGCATTTGTAGCGGTGTAGCTGCAAACCCAGGCTGCATCTCAGAATCGTGTGGGTGATTTGTCAACAGTTGGAGAAGCACACAACCAGTCTGTCTGGATTCCGATTCAGAAAATACGAAGGAACATGGTGGATACAAATGGGTCAGAGTTGACAGCCATTATTCTGCCACTCTCCACCTCAGAACACATCCCTCTCTTCTTAGGCTGGCCATACCTCACATGTCCCCTCTAGAGCTGACACTGGTGCTAGTTGAGACATTGTAATTCTGATTGCATCTCTGACAGGCAGCATCGGGCTTCATCTGTGAGTACTGGCTTCTGCCTGGTGCCGGCAGCTGATGCCCAGGCTTCAGGTGGGAGGTGGACCTTAAGGATTAGACCCAGGACCCTGAGCAGGTGGAAAATGGGATTCCAGCCTTGCAGTTGCACTGCCCTGACTCTGGCCCAAATGCATCCTCTTGGGGTCGAGAGTTGCTGGACATAAGAAGGATACTCTCTGACAGTTTACAGACACTCACGCTTGAGGCTGGGCCCTCTACCTGCCCAGCCTGGGCTAGGCAACTGTGTAGAGCTCAGACTTAGCACCAGAAGAATAGAAACCAAAGAATTCCTAGCCTGTGAAGCCATTGGGAATGTGACATTTCAGAGAGTGGAAAGCAGCACTTTTAGGAAAACTCACCCTGCTGCGGACTGTATCTCTGATAACAGTGGCCCAAAAAGATTATAACATGGAGAACAGCCTCAATAAATCAACAACTCACACTTCCCAAAATGTGGCCCAGCAACTAGGAGTTATGGAAACCTTTTAATGTCAGGGAGAGAGAGACTAAAGACATTTTTCTCATCTGGTATGATGGTTTGCAATGATAGATTCCTTTGTTTTTCAAAGAAAAACAGTATTGTCCTAATTTAACATAGAAACAACAAAGAAATTTTCTGTCTTCTAGGAAGTGTGTACCTGTGTATGTTTATGTGTTCGTGTTTGTGGTCTGTATGTATGTGTGGGGGAGTGTTTTTGTGTTTATGTGGTCTGTGTGTGTGTGTGTTGGTGTGTGTCTGTGTTTGTGTGTCTGTCTGTATGTGTGGTATGTGTATGTGAGTGTGTGTCAGTGTGTATGTCTGTGTGTCTATGTGTGTCTCTGTGTTCTGTGGAGTCTACGTCTGTGAGTATGTGTGTGTGTCTGTTTCTGTCTGTTGCTATGTGTGTGTGTCTGTGTATGTGTGTGCCTGTTTCTATGTGTCTGTATGTATGTGTGTCTGTTTCTCTTTCTCTCTCTCTCTCTGTGTGTGTGTGTGTGTGTGTGTGTGTTTATTGTCAGATCTTGGTTCCTGGCAGAAGTGATCAATGACTTCTCCCTCTGGAGCCTTCCTGGTGAAATCCTTACACATCTTTTCAGGGGATCTGGTGGTTGAAAAAAATTCTGGACAGGAGGAGGGTTTTTCTAGCAGCTGGGGGGTGGTGATATGTGGTCAGGCACATGGTGGCTATTTGGATGATAACTAGGACTCATTCACACTGACTTCTGACTCATTTCTTGGCTCATTTTGGTCAGACCAGAGCTCTTAGATGATGGGTCACTAGCATCTCATTGACTTCTGGTTCCTGCATTTGTTCTGTCTAATAATATCAACAGTAATAATGCAGCGCCCATTGAGTGCTTCGATGCAGGGCTGATTCTAAGGTCTTTGCCTGCATGAACTGTGGGACAGGTACAGTGGTCATTTGATGCAGCATAAATTAGTAGTGTTTTACACACTATGGCACTGAGATTTCACAAGGTAAAGTAATTTTCCCATGCTGCCCACACTACAGCCAGACAAAAGAGATACCTAGTCGTGATAGCATTAAGATGGGGAGAGGCATCTACCTGATGGGAAGCTGTATTTTGTTAGGGACTGTATTTAGGAATATCAGTCCTTGATAATGAAAGCAGGCAAGTTTTAGGTCCCCCCTCCTCTCTCTCTCTCTCTCTCTCTCTCTCTCTCTCTCTCTCTCTCTCTCTCTCTTTCTGTGTGTGTGTGTGTGTGTGTGTGTGAACACGTGTGTACACAGATGTGTATGCTCATTCGGAGGCCAGGGGAGGATGTTGGATGTCTTCCCCAACACTTGACGACTTTTTCTGAGACAGGGTTTCTTACAGAATCCTAAGCTCCCTGTCTCACCTAGTCTGGCTAGCCATCAAGATCCAGGATCGGCCTGACTCCACTCAGCAACGCCGGGGTTACAGGCATGCATACCCATCCCAACATTTTTTATGTGGGTGCTAAAGCTTTGAACTCAGGACCTCTTGCCTTCACAGCAAGCACTCTGACCCACTGAGCCTCTTTGGTCATAAACAAAACAATACAAAACAAAACCCTCTGGGGCTCAGAAGTTAAAAGCATTTGTTGCTCTTGCAGAGGACCCAAGTTAGATTCCCAGTACCCACGTGGTGGTTCACAGCCATCCATAACCCCAATTTCAGGGGATCCAACAGGCATGCATATGGTACATATAGATACATCCAAGCAAATATTCATATACATAAAACTAAAATAAATCTGACAAGAATTCTAAGATGCCAACTTATACCACCTCCATATAACCTGTGATATCTTGTACTTCATCCAAGCCCAGTGAGCCTAAGGCTAGCTCACAGGCTCAGTGCCTCTCTCCCGACAACTAGCACAAACTATGATGGGCATAGTCAGGGAGAGAAGGGAAGAAGGTGGCCTCTGTGATTCCTACTTAGGCTTCCCCTCACACACTGCAGGAAGTGATGCCCTCCCTTGAGCCCCAGCGAAGAGCATTGCCTGGCCGCTTTTGGGTTTGATCTGTGACGGTACCGGGATTGGCAGTGACTATTCCAGAACTTGGCATCCTCTGCCCCACCACGCCACCCTTCCTCTTTGAGTAGGTAGAGCCCTGGGGGAGAAAAATGTGGTGGGCATGTGATTCTAAGCTGAGCTGGCAGGAGCTGGGGGGGAAGGGGGAAGAATAGAATATACATACACTTTATCAGTGTGTCAGGAAACACCCCCCAGAACTAGTTTTGCTGGCTGGGTTCACCCAGGGGTCACATGCCTCACACTCCAGGAGGAGGCCACCAGCCTGCTCCAGGCAGTTCAGAATTAAGGACACTTCTTATGCTAGGCTGGGCAAGTGACTGTTTTAGTTTTCCCCTCAACCAATATTGCTTCGTTTTAAGCACACATGGACTAGTACCAGGCTACAGAACATGGGATTTATGAACATGCGGTTTTATGAACATGGGGTTTTACTTACACACACACACACACACACACACACACACACACACACACACACACACACACAATAGATGGAAGTCCTGGCTCAGGAGAGAGTCAGGGAATCCCTGAGCCAAGAACGGGTGAGTCCGGGGTGGTCATTTCCTATCAGCCTCCCTCCCTGAAGGCAAGCATCCTCCATTCAGAGCTGTTGGCTGAGGCTGTTGAGTCCAAACTCCCCACCCCTAGGGCCTACACAATCCCTGTGCCCAGTAAATTGCTGAGTTGATGAGGAATGAGCAGCCAGACCATCTAGGTTGACGTTAAGGTGCCGTCTGCCTCAAGAAAATGGACCTGCCCCCCCCAAATGTGCCTACCACTAGACTTGTTAACTCCCCCTCAAGCCCTTGACCTGATCCCTCCTTCCTACAGACTGTCCTCCACCCCAAAGTCAAGGTTCAGAAACAGACAGGAGAGGAGCCAGGTGACCTGTAAGGACTGTGCTGGGTGGTGGCCCCGGTGGTTCTGGACATGCCAGGAAGTACTGAATCCAGGGCTAAACTAACACCGCCCCTCATCCACCCCCCACCCCCCACCGCCCTGCCCCCCTGAGGCTTCTGGGTTTCTCTTTCAGTTCCCCCCACCTCCTCCCCATGGTTCCTGGATCCTGGAAGCCAGGAACAGTTTCTGAGTTGCAAGCTGATGGCCAAACACAGTGGACTAAGGGGTTTCTGAGCTGGACTCCTCTCAGCACCCCCATCTCCTGTCAACTGCTTTCGGTGCCTGATGCCCTGATGCCAGAACTTCTGTCCCCAGCCTCACCCAGCCGCCCATCTCCACACTTTGCTATTTAGAGCTTAGTTTAGATTCAGCTGCAAACCCACAAACTGCTGATTCGCAGGGCTGGGGGAGGGTAAGGCGGTGGGGACCGGACGACTGGGACAGCTAGCTTCTCTGCTCCAGACTTCAGTGGGCAGAACAGGGAGTCTTTGCCCTTGGAAATGTACTTCCCAGTTTGTCCTTGCTCTGTGCAGGATATTGAGGATGTTTGTCCCTCTTTAAGTCCCCTAGAGGTGATATATAGGTGCTAAAACTTTTAAGATCAGTGGTTCTCAACCTGTGGGTCACAACCCTTTTCACAGGGGTCACCCAGAAAACACACATACTTGCATCAAGATTCATAACAGTAGCAAAATTACAGTTATGATGTAGCAATAACAATAATTTTATTGTTGGGGTCACCACAACACGAGGAAGTATATATAGTAAAGAATTAGGAAGGTTGAGAACCACTCCCCCAGATAGTGAATATATCTAGATCCACATCCTGGACTTTTTAGAACAACCCCTGATTTCAAATACTGTTTCTCCCCGGTCAGATATTTCTGACCCTTTGAGCTGCTTGTTGCAGCAATGGGATGGGGTTGTTTACTAATTAATTGAGATAAGAACTGTTTTAATTTTGGAGCAGGCCTAGAAACTGCCCCCAAACAAAAGGATTCTAATTCATCTCATTGCAGTGGGACACAGTACCTCTGGGACCAGGCGAGGTGAGGGACAGTAGGACAGCCTCTCCTTCAGCGATCTCCATCTCACCCATTCCCCAGGAGCGGGCAGGAGAGGGGCTTACTCACTTGCACAGAACATCCACAGCGCAGGTCCCACCTTCCCCAACATGGTCTTGCTCATTTTCTGCCCCAAGCCCAGGCTGGAAGTGGCAAGGCACTGGACAGGTCTGGGCAGATTGGCTAAATTACAGCAGCCTCTGGCCTGGTTCACCCTGAAGTCCCTGCAGCGTTCCTTCTGTTCACCTGTACCAGTCTGGGTCCACATGCCCCACCCTGTCAATGGACTGGCAAGTGAGCTCACCTATGGGGTGAGGCACGCACTCCACCCACTCTACCAAAGGCCTCAGCAAGAGTCTTCCCCATGGCTCCCTGAGCCAGCCATCTCTCTGCTTTCTCCCTCCTTAATAGGGGTGCAAAGTCCTGGGCTTCTCACTAGGTGTGGGCCTCTTGTAACTGACAGGAAGTTGTAATAAAAAGGGGACAGTCTCGAAAGTAAGATGCCAAGCTAGTAAAAGAAGGGTGTTGTCCACATTTGCTGAGGCGCATGAAGACCGACATTGTATTTTTCTCTTCCTTTCCTTTCTTCTCTGACACCCACACTAGGACAGAGACCTGGGTATGGAGGGCACAGGAAGTTCCTACACTGAGTTGGACACTCTGCCCGGGAAAGTAGGAAATACCCAAGAAACCAAGAATAAACTGACTCAGTTTTTTTTTGTTTGTTTTTTTTTTTTTGGTTTTTTTTTTTTTTTTTTTTTGGTTTTTTTCGAGACAGGGTTTCTCTGTGGCTTTGGAGGCTGTCCTGGAACTCACTTTGTAGACCAGGCTGGCCTCGAACTCACAGAGATCCGCCTGCCTCTGCCTCCCAAGTGCTGGGATTAAAGGCGTGCGCCACCAACGCCCGGCGACTCAGTTTTTTTTTTAAAGATTTATTTATTTATTTAATGTACACTAGTGTTTTGCCTGTATATATGTTGTGGGAGGGTATTGGATCTACTGGAGCTGGAGTTACAGACAACTGTGAGCTGCCAGGTAACCTGGGAATTGAACCCCGGTCCTCTGGAAGAGCAGTCAGTGCTGGCTGGTACACACTGAGACATTTCTCCAGACCCCCTGACTCAGTTTTCAACACTAAAATCATTTATCCTGTGAATCGCTCAGTCCCAAGACATTGAGGTATTTGTCACCTTTAAATGTAACAGATGAACCATAGCACTTAGAGACAGAAGCAGGTGGATCTCTGAGAGTTTGAGGTCACCCTGGTCTACAGGGTGAGTTCCAAGACAGCCAAGATTTATAGTGAGACTCCCCCTGAAACAAACAAACAAAAGGACAGGTGCTACAGGAAACAGCTGTCCAGGAGGGCTCTCTGATCAGGTCCTGCCACAGACATTAGAGAATAAACACAAACGATATTATGTCATTTAATTTTTTTCATTTATCAAAATATCCCAGAGTCTTTTGCATTCATATATAAACACTACTGACTTCTGTTTAGTGGGTAATAATATCACACTGGATGTGTTCTCCTCCAAGTTTGTTCACATGTCCACTAAGTTATCGATCTTGAACTCCCTGGTTTCTAGAGGCTCTTTGTATTCTTGAGAAACTTGCTTCTGGATAAAGTGATGACTGCAAATGCTTTCCTGGCTGTTGCCTTGTATTCTGAATTCCTTGTGTAAATTGCTTGAAGCAGTCTTTTCTAGCTACTAGACTCAGTCTGCTCACAAAGGTTGTTGCTTTCTATTTATTACACTTTGCTTAGTCACATTGTTGCATTCTCTAATTGTGTAAAACACTTTTTCAGTTCTGATATTTCATGACACCATTGCCAGCTTACTCCTCCTAAGACACAGTCCCTCTGATGCTAGGTCTCTGCTCCTGCCCTATTGCTGACTCCATAGAACTTAACAACTGAATGTCTGCAATTTAATTGTTCTTTAAGGTGTGGTAGGATTCATTCTTTAATGCTCCCTCCCTTTCAAGAGTTGTTTCTGGAGTATTGTCACCTCTGTTCTGACTGTACTTGGACATTTCCTTATAGCTGCAGCTCATCCTTTCCTTCCCCAGAACTCTGTTCTCTGCAGTTCCTCTCCACTATTACATCAACTCTGTTTCCTCTAACTCACCCTTTAAACACCTGCTCATACGTCATTTCTCCTATGAAGCCTTCCCCGGCTTCCCGGTTCAGGAGGGCTTGCTCCTTCCTGTTTCTTCCAAGTTTCTTCTAGGTCCAGAACTTCACTCTGTCTTACACTTCAGTTATATTTAGTCCGTGTCTCATGCCTCCTAATAAGCTGTGAGCTCATTCATTCATTCAGCCAAATTTCAGATGGCGTTATACTGGGCACTGTTCCATCTAGCTTCTAACAGGATGCTTCTAACTAACTCAGTCAAGCACAGGGCCTGATGCATAGGAGACAATCAGTAAATATCTACAAACGTGGAGATGGGCCGAAAGATGTATGAATGAAGGTGTGCTCACAGAATGTGGAAAGGGTGAACTGGAGACAGGGGAAACAGGGAGACGGATAGATGGAAGGGTTCGGAGTCCCAGGAAGTTTAGGACGAGAGGGTGAACTGTCGGGCTGCTGGGTATCGTTGGGATGGTGTCAGGAGTGTCATGAGATAGGGTAGGTCATGAGTTCTTTGAAGCTTATGAAGCTCTCAGAATTTTTATGTTGTAACCAGGGGCCATGAATGTTGAGGCAAAGATGTGAAGGAGAGGTACAACCTGCCTTAGACATTCCTGTTAAAAATGTCAGGCTGATTGCAAGCCGTGACCTCTCTTCAACCACACCCTGATGCTCTCCCCCCACCTAAGGACTGGCCTGTTCTGTTTAACTGATATTTTTCTTTCCTAGACCTCTTCCAGATGCTGTGAGGCCAAGGTAAGTTTGTTTATTACAAAGGTGCTGATTTGGGCTGTTTTAAATGGGGCAGCCTCCTGCAGGAGGAGATGGGCTTCGGTCCACAGTGTGAGCCTGTTCTAAATCCACTACTAAGCATCAGCCAGGAGGGAAAGGGTTAAATGAAGCCTGCATTCCTTCCTCCCTGAGAGCTGCCACCCGATGGGGCCAGAGGCTAAATTTAGAGGCTGGCTAAGGTTTCTTGCTAACAGCTGTCGCTCAGAGCAGAAGCCCTCCAGATCGGAGAAAGCTTGGTCCTCTCTAGCTGGAGCTTCTGGGCATTTTCCTGGGGTCCTTGGCCCTTGCTGTGTCCCAAGGTGAGTGTTTGTCTTCTCAAGTCTGCCATGGTGGGCTGGGACTTAGGCTCAAGTGGGTGCCAGTCTGCCCTGAGAGTCAGACCACAGACATAGCTGAGACCAACTCTCAGGGACATTTTGTGCCTTAATAGGCTATGGGATGGCACCTCGGCCCAAGGCCCCGAGTGACACAGTGCCACTGAAGGGGGCCTGCTGTCCCTTCCAGTAAAGATAAAGGGTGTGTACATCCGTGTAGTTGGAAGGGAGTCTACAAGTGTCCCTTTTAGTCTGGGGAACCGGCTGTTTCTTCACCCCCTGCACTACCGTTAAGGTAAACTCCTGCTTCCCTCTCTACTTCCCTGCTACTTACTTCCATGAAAGGCAGCAAGTTGTCACATTGTCACTTCTCAAACATTGTGTCACTTCATGGTGTCCTATGAACAACAGCCGGGCTCCATCTTATCGGTTTCCCTATGGGTCCTTTACCCATTGGGATAATAGCATGCAGTGCCCTCCCCAGTCTCAGTCCACCAAGGTGACATTGGTGACACACCCCCTCCCCCTACAAAGCCTCTGGAATCTGACTCCTTAACCAGTCTTTTCCTGGCAAACAGACCGAGGCTGAAGGCTATCATGGCGACTGGTGGAGACCCAGAGGAGGAGCAGGTAGTTCCAAATGAGGAGGATGAAGCTGATGTGAGAGCCGTGCAGGCCCGCTATCTCCGGAGTCCCTCCCCAAGCCAGTAAGTGGGCCATGGCTAGTGCCACGCGTGTCACTCAACATGATGCTGGGTTCTACTCTCCATGGTGGCAAACTAACCGCATTGAGGCATGGTGGGGGCCAGACCTTGGTGTCTCCGGGATGTGTGGTGCTGTGGACTGGCAGGGTGGGGGTGGAGGGATGACAGACACATGGGGAAGGACCAAAGGCTTCTGGGAAGTGCTGTTGCTGGCTTGAACCTGGGAGTAGGAATTTGGCAGGTCTGCTTACAGGGTGTGCTTGATTCACCAGCTGGGTGGTGGGTGAGCGGCTGAAACGCCAGAGAGTGTAAGAAGAGAGATGAAGAAGGAAAGAGGCCCATGGGTCAGGTTGGTTACTAAAATAATTTTCACATTCACAATGGAGCTGTTGCTTTCTAAGAGATAGAAACACCCTGGAGCAAATGGCAGGATGCCAGTGCCGGAGATAAGCATCTGTTAGAATAGTCCTCTGCACTCTGTAATGAGTCATTTCTGTTCCATCAAGAGCATTGACGATTTAGGATGATGTAGGTAGACAAATTCATGTGAATTTCTAAGAAAACACATGGGACTAAAGGAATGCCATTGGGCAGTAGTGACTGTTCGCTGGATAACGGCACTCGCCGCCAAAACAGACCACCTGAGTTTGATCCCCAAGTTCACATAGTAGAAGGACAGAGCTGACCCCTGTAAATTGCCCTCTGACCTCAACATACGATCCATAGCATGTATTCCCTTATCCCACCACACACAGAAATAAGTGTAATTTTAAAAAGCAAAGAAAAAGGATCCATGTGTGGTAGCACATGTCTTTAATCCCAGCACTTGGGAGGCAGAGGAAGTCTGAGGCCAGCCTGGTCTGCAGGAGACCAGGAGAACCCTGTCTCAAAAAAGGAAAGAAAGGGAAGGAAATGCTACAACAAGTGCATATATGCCTGTTTTCTTCTGCTGTGATTAAGAAAAGACATGCTTCTGAGCATAGCCCTGTCACCAAATGATGTGAAGACTCACTAAGCCCTTGTCTCCGTGTCAATCAAAAGAGAAGCCTGACCAAAGAATCTCAGAGAACTCTGATTTCTCCCCCTTTTTCACCTGGCACGCCTTAGAACTGTCAATCCCCACCCCTTGAGAATAAGACAACGCTTTAAAGACAAACTTCAAGCTTGAATTACACACCGGCCAGGTTGATGGACTCCCTGGCCAGGTCCATCTTTGCTTTCCCAGACAAATGAATCTGAGTCACAGCCTACAGCCAGAGACAAGCATACATGCTGACATATTTCCTGCCTGTGAACCTCCCGCCCACATGTGGTCAAGCCGGCTGGTACAGATGGGTGAAACAAACTTGTTTAGGGGAGTGAACGTTTGTAACAACTTGTTATCTCTCATAAACAGTAGCCTCCAGCATTTCAGGAACTGTCTGTCCATGGGCAA